TCCAGAGATGCAGTTGGGAGATGGGAGAAAGTTGTAGAAAGTCAACCATCACTGCAGCCCTCCACCAGTCAGGGCTTTATGGCAGAATGGCCCGATGGAAGCCTCTCCTCAGTGCAAGACACATGAAAGCCTGCCTGGAGTTTGCTAAAAAACACCTGAAGGACTCCAAGATGGTGAGAAATAAGATTCTCTGGTCTGATGAGACCAAGATAGAACTTTTTGGCCTTAATTCTAAGTGGTATGTGTGGAGAAAACCAGGCACTGCTCTTCACCTGTCCAATACAGTCCCAACAGTGAAGCATGGTGGTGGCAGCATCATGCTATGGGGGTGTTTTTCAGCTGCAGGGGCAGGACGACTGGTTGCAATCGAGGGAAGGATGAATACACAGAGGTATCCTGGACGAAAACCTTCTCCAGAGTGCTCAGGACCTCAGACTGGGCTGAAGGTTCACCTTCCAACAAGACAATGACCCTAAGCACACAGCTAAAATAACGGAGTGGCTTCACAACAACTCCGTGACTGTTCTTGAATGGACCAGCCAGAGCCCTGACTTAAACCCAATTGAGCATCTCTGGAGAGACCTGAAAATGGCTGTCCACCAACGTTTACCATCCCACCTGACAGAACTGGAGAGGATCTGCAAGGAGGAATGGCAGAGGATCCCCAAATGCAGGTGTGAAAAACTTGTTGCATCATTCCCAAAAAGACTCATGGCTGTATTAGCTCAAAAGGGTGCTTTTACTAAATACTGAGCAAAGGGTCTGAATACTTATGACCATGTGATATTTCTGTTTTTTTTTTTAATTAATCTGCAAAAATGTCAAAAATTGTGTTTTTCTGTCAATATGGGGTGCTGTGTGTACATTAATGAGGAAAAAAATGAACTTAAATGGTTTTAGCATATGGCTGCAATATAACAAAGAGTGAAAAATTTAAGGGGGTCTGAATACTTTTCGTACCCACTGTATGTCTCTATAGCCGTTATCACACATGAACTCTGGACTATGTCCATGGAATCAGGCCTGGACTTTATCCAGAGTTGCCCTTTCACACATGTTGCACACAGCAGGGGGTAGTCCGTGTCCATGTCCTGCTGGAAATACTGCATTTGGTTTATGAGCAGGGGACATGTCAGGATAGAGCATGCAGGAGTCAGGACATGATGCAGTCATGTAGCCAATTTGTAATTTGATCATAAACAACAGAATCTCTTGCTCTACCTTAAATTTGTCTGACGGTTCAGGTGCCAGCTTTTAACAGAAGTTCCCAAATCTTTTTGTTGGCATCTTCACTGTAAACGGCCGTTTTTCTTCACCACTGGATGTTTGTTTTCTTTCAGTTTTGCCGGTCACATAATAGAACGTCATCAACGTGCCCAGTAGCTCCATGTGAATATCTTGGAGGATATGTTGCCATGTTCTCACATGGGCTCACTCCGACTCACTCGGACCTTACGCGGACTTTGTACCAGGGAACTGGCTGAGTAAAGTCCACTTAAGGACAAGGTCAACTGACTCAGACATTTGTGTTCTCACATACAGCTCCCTGGTTAATCCCTAGAGAATCTTAGGGTTCTAGTTTATGTCTGATAGGGCCTTAAGATTCCTTCATCCAACCCAGGCTAATGAGGGTTAAATTAATTATAATTAATTTGTGCTCATAGTGTTGAAAACACTTGAAAGACTTCAACAGTGAAATATGTTTTCCATAGTTTTCCAGATTTCCTGGATAATCCACACTGTGAATAGTTTTTGCTTTGTTTGAATTATTTATTTTTGTTTCTTGGAGCAAAGAAGCTTCTGAGAAACTTAATACAGCAACAGACACGTCAGCTGTGTGTGTGGTAGTGCAGCTGTGTGTGTTTGTGTTTAGCTAAGCCTCTGAATCAAAAGTTAACAGGACCTTCTGTCACTTGCCTCCGTCTCGCTGTTTGACGGTCAGATTTTTGTCAGACTGTTTCTTGGCTCTGAGTAGTTGTCGGCAACCTGGGGGATTCCAGAAAGTTACTGCTCCAAGCCAAGGAAGAGTCAGGCACATAATCTCCCATAAAACTGTGAACTGTTGTTTGTACACTTCAGGTTTTTGTGTGAAATAAATAAAATGAAATGTGTTATTTAGTGAACTTTTCAAAGTGCTGATTTTCTTACCTATGGGTAACAAAGTAGTCTGTGATAAGATGAGATAAGTTGGCATGCTGCTGACTTTAATGTTAGGCTTTTATTTAACAGGCAGAGAATGGCATCAGCCTCATCAATAATTAACCCTGTTATAGCCTTTATGTTAATCTGGTGGAATTCCATTCAAACTCGTGCCGTTCTAAAATGTTGTAGAAAGGTCATATATGTGATTAAGCTGCCCATGTGACTCAAGCTTGAGGACAACATGCAAAATGCCATCATATTAACAAAAACATATCGAACAATAACCACTGTTCATAACGGGGTCAGAGCATCAAAGACAGTGTTTCTGAAAAAAGCTGAATTGCCTGCATAAAAGCAACTGTGCAACAAGTTGTTACAATTTACTGCTGATCACATATACGCTTTATTTTCAATTAGTTTGGAAAAATGTATTGTTTGGATTCACTCTAAATGACCGGAATTCTTCCTTCCCAGTCTTAATTCATTGATTAGTTTGATATTAATATTACATGTGACCTATAGTTCTGATTATGATGCTGTTTATACTACTTATATACACAAGTTGTACACATACACATTACTTGGTATACACTTGCAGTTATGTTTTAATAGAGTCCTTTTGGGGGTGCTGAAAAAAAGGATGTTTTTACTTGGTATACACTTGCAGAGTCCTTTTGGGGGTGCTGAAAAAAAATTCCCTTTGAAAAGTGAATTTGTCCAAATTATACCTAGACAAATAAAATCCAAAATTATCAGCCTGTCAAAGTTTATGTACCACTTGTGGTTTAAGATTTTTGGTTCTTGTTGTTGGCTTGTGTTTGTTTGTATTATGAATGAACCAATAGTTTAATCCACACGCTGTTATTAGCCAAAGATGATGTTATTCAAGCCTCGCGACTTACCGTTACACTCCACAGCTACAGACATCAGCGAGAGCAGTGCCAGCCCAAGATCTCTCCTCATCCTGGCACAAACTGTCATGCTGTGTCCCCTAAAACACAAAGTGACATCACCAGCCGGCTGTTATTGAGGGAGTATTAACCTGCGGCTTGGCAGTGTGTCTTGTTTCTACCTAAAACAAGGGCATATAAGGGGAAAACAACAAGCACAATCAATAATTGTTTGCACATGTTTTAGCTGGCACATATTGTACAGTCTATCAGTAGTCATCGCATGCAGACAAATCATGATATACTATTAAAATATTTCAGATTTAACATGGGATTTGTGCTTTAACTACCACTAACATAGAGCCTTCTCATCAGTTGTCACCCGAGAAGGAATCTGCAACATCACCCAAATCCTCTGTTGGGTTATAAGTTAACAAAGACCGATCAAAGGTAAAGGACTGTACTGGAGCAGCTGGTTTAAAAAAACACAACTGGATGTACTAGAATAAGCCACAAACTGTTGATAAATATCACCTGTGGATTATGCTATATCCTGTGGTATTATATATTACATCTACAGTAAATAAACCCCCAAAAAATCCAAAGTTTATGAATAATATCCAGTCATAAATGCTGATTGCCTGATATGAATACTTCATCACATTTTTGAGCTCATCTGATTTGTGAAAGTTTGTTCTCTGACATAGTCCAAATGGCCTTCAGGCAATTTTTATTTACTTCCTCATTTGTAGATATTAATTCACATTCAGATCCACTGACTCAGATAAAGATCTCACTCTACACACACACAGTGCACAGTGTCAGATTTTTAGGCAACACAACGACAATGCAATTAGCTTCAAAGTCCCATGCAAGTTTCTGGACTCTGGAAATGTACTGGAGGTTGACTGGTTTAGAGCAAAGGCTCTGCAGAGTCATGCTCCCTGCTCCATAACAACTGTGAAATGCTTGGTCCAACTAAGCACCTGAAGAGGTATGAGAGAGCTTCCTTCAATGCCTAACAGTATGTAATTTAAATGGATGTCACAAAGGGGTTACACCTTTCCACTCATTTTGTTTTTTTTTAATTTCCTTGTTATGTAGTGTAACCACAGTGACAACAAACTCGGTATCATGCTGCGACACCTGCTCCAACAAGTTTTAACAGGATCACTTAAGCAAGCCACGGTCTCGAAGAGGCTTTTTTTTCCATTCTGACAAAACATGAGCAGGACTTTGTGTCAAAAAGAATCCCTAAAGCTAAATATTTAGTGTGTCTATGATAATACCATTGCATATGTAATATATCCCTATTTAACAGGTAACAATTTCTTATGAAAAACTATCCTTATAGCCATTTTTTAAAATTAACTCAAGTAAATATCTAAATAGCTGAAGCGTCATAAACCTTAAATTCAATACACAGAAAAATCATTATCATTATTTTGTCCCTAGATCAGAGACAAAAAGTAGCTCTCTTTGTGTAAATAATGTGCCTCTAAGGGAGTCACAGCAATACAATCCCTTGGTGAAAATGTCAGGCAGCAAACAGCAAATCCTACATTATTACATTTTGTACCAAAACAGAACTAATATATCATGTTTTCTTTTTTAATTTATTTTATTTATTTTACATGGTACATACTAAAATACCCTGCTATGTTAGTTCCAATGCACGTTGTATTGTTTAGTATGTTGCTGAAATGCTGCATGAGCAGGTAGACAACATGCCATAGAGATTATGAAGTCTTATCAAACATCTTAGTCACCATGCCCATTGTAAATTAACCTGTATTAAATGGTTAACAGCAGCGATGCCTATAATCATCTCCATCCATCATTAAATAAATAAAATACTGAGAGTTTCTCACTATTTTTTGAAATTTCTACAGTCCAGTTTTCATATGGCAACACAAAACTGGCTCACAAAACAGCTAAACACTCTTTTTTATATAGAAACTGAACATAATATGCTACCTTACTCAAGTATAGTGTGCTTGCTTAATGCGTATTATTACACGGTATTACATTACATTACACAACTAGGTGTTCACGTTGTGGCTGCTCCCTGTAGAACTACGTCCCTGCAAGCACGCACACAAAGCGAAACTCAAAACTCAAACAGAGCAAACTGGTTAACTTTAGCTAGTCTGAATGCATTTATGCCAAAAGCTGCAAGGACAGGCAAAAAATAAAAAAAATGAAATAAAAATTAATAAAAACAAAAAGTATGTGACACGAACAGAAAATAACAGCTCTTGTGATCACTCACCTCACACACCAATTTAGAATTTTCTTGGTAAATGAGCTACATTTAACTGCTGCTGACAAAAAGAAAGAGGGGAAAGTAGCCTTCTTCAGTCATGCCATTAAAGAAACCGGCCGTATTATACCTGACAACTGGTATATGACCTCAGGTATGATATAATATAAGGAACGAACTCTGTGTCATGACAGGGAGGGGTCTGCTGTCGTCACGACTTGTCTACCTGAGTGCAGCCAGAGAGCGCAGCGGAGGGAGACGTCTCACTCTGACGTGATTTCGTGCTCCTAGCAGCGCAGATATTACGGTTTGCTGTTGTGCCACTATGCTACCGCTGTTTTATTTGTGTATTGTAAATTAAATTATCGTCTGTTCCAGTAGTATATTTAAATGTCATTTGCAAACATAAAAAAATTTGATGCTGGCATCCAACTAGCGGTCAAATCACTTAATTTGGTTCTGATAAGACACATTTTGTAAAGGGTTTACAACTTTACTTAAATGATGTATAAGTGGTAAGTACATAATGCACTGATTATTTATCAGCTATAATATATTAGTCAGAAAAACGTTTGGGTTACCAGACTGTGGAAAATCCCCTTCCTTGTTTTTTTTTTTAGGATGCTCTTTAATTCTGTAGGGAGACGCTGCAAGGCATCACAACCTAACTCTCTCACACACACACACACACACCGATGGTCCCTGAAGGGCTCTGCTCTGGCCTTCAGAGGTAATCTGGGGTTCAGTGTCTTGCCCAAGGACACGTCGACATGTGGACTGGTGAGAATGGGAATCAAACCACCAATTTTAGGGTTAGGGTACAACCTCCTGAACCACATCTGCCCATGGACAGCACAGTCTTGCAGAATAACATGCTACTAAATAAACTGTGAGGATTTTTGTAAGGAATGTAATGTGTGGCCACTGTAGGGTCAGTTTATGTCTGATGCCTTGCAGTAGGTGATGACTTTGACTCTGAGCATTCTTAAGTGCAACTCTTACAAGTTGGACAAATAAAGGCCCTGCTTTAAAAAAACTAGCCCAAATGTTTTCCCACAGTGGCTCATCTCCATCTATAAACAATCTTTGGCAGAGCCCAGACAGCGCAAGTGTCTCTGTATCAGTTTCTTCCAGGAAGTATAGTTTTTGTCTTCAAGTGTAAGGGAGAAAGGAAAGATAGCCAGCAGTGACAAATGATGCTCAGGTTGACAATGATTCAGACAATAAATTATAGAAAATCACAGCAACATTGTTGTTACAACAAGTGTCCCTAGCAACCAACTCTGTAAGCTTTTTTAAAATCCCTGCTATAACCGTAATACTCCAGTTACAGTGTTCAGATAGACAAGTAACAAAACTAATTAGGAAGGTATAGAATATGCAATAAAATATAAAAGAGCCATTAATTAAAGCTTGTAAACCCATTGTAAAGGGTGTCTTATTAGAAAGTGGTACTTATAATTTAAATAAAACCCCAATTTGTTCCTGTAACTGCATGTGGGTCACACCCTGGATTGTTATTATATAAACCCTAACCAACACCAGGCTCATAAGGTTTGATCTCCAGGTTTCACATACATGAATTATGATTTGACTAAGTTAAGGAATGAAGATGATAATGTTCTATGTTTCAATAAGCAACAACCATAACTATGATAGTGAAAACTACTGTTTCACTGTTAATGTTTGTTGTAAAGGGGGTGCAGAAAGACTACCACCAACTGCTGTAAATACTCACTACACTGTTAAATAGTCAAGTTGAATAGTATTGAGAGACATTATTTGTGTTCTTTTCATATTATTAGTTTAAAATAAGGACATTTTAAAATTACATCAACTAATTTTTTACATTTAATTCTAATGAACCAGTTGCATGAAAACTGTTTCATGTCCCAGTAATGTAAGACTTCCTCTGAATAACGAGTTGCTTCAAATCAACAAAATATTAAACACAGAAGTAAAAATACTCAGGTAATATGACATTAATATATTTGTACTTTGATTCCTAGATGATGCTTACACCACAGGAGGAGGTAATGTAAAGGTACTCGGCTTTTATACCGACTTTCTTTTTTTTATACTTGAAGTGGTGATTGTAAACATTGCCTTCCCAGACAAATGGTAAATGGACTGTACAAAGAAAAAATAGGATACACATACTATTCTCTCTTCATGAGTAATATATGCGTTGCTGCTATTACAGAAGTACAGAGGGGGCTGGGACATTATCCAAGATGATCCTAAATGTATAAAACAAATAAAAGCATCTTTCAGTATTTATTAGTACTTTAAACAGTACTCTACCTCACTGTAAAGCCAAAGATGAAGCAAAGAGCTTCTGAGACTTAAAGCTGTTGTATGCATTTAGTTAGCTGCTCCAGGAGCTGTGGTCTGTTCTGCGGCACATTTGAACCCAACAGGTCACCCCAGGATTGATGTTGTACAGGCTGAACTGGGGTTTTGTACCTGACATACACTCTTTGAGAGAAAATATTTAGCTTACATTTACCTTGTACCCAGGTTAACATCACTCTTATGTGGCTGTTTTGGTTTGTTTTACTGTTGTAAGCTAAGGCTTTGAGTGTGTGGTTGTAAAAGTAACAATATTTGTCTCACTGTAAAAATGTTAGCATGCTGTATTTATTTTCTGTACATGCATTAATTATATTTATGGTTGTGTTTACAAAGTCTATACGAAGTGATTAATGTAAGGCAGCATCGCTTGATCTGCTTCACTCTGCAGAGACGGCTACTGGTGTAAACAGTTTTTTAAATGAGACCTAAAGTTTTAATCCCTGGGACAACGCTGTGCAGTTACTATTTTCTTACACGAGACAAGATTTTGCTCCAAATGTATTGTACGCACAGTGCATGGAGAGAGCATACGCTCCCTGTATAACCAAATAAAAGATGTGAAATTTGATCTGCGGCTGTACGCATGTTAAACCGGCCCTATTCTGTTTTGATTTGTGTCCCATGTCTGTCACTCAGTATTTTTCCATTCCTTATTAAGCTCATGAAGACTGCACAGCTAATGAATATACAAATCTAGTAGTAGTCAGTAGTCCAAAGTGTATCGCTGATACCAGAATGTTAATTATATCTACTGTGGTTCACTGTTGAAATGCGATACAGAATAAAGTCCAAAGAAGCTCACTACTAGTCACTGTACAGTAACTAGTACAATGCAGAACCAAATCCACAGAAATCATATTACACATATTTGTCATACCTCCCCCAAAATCACTAAAAGGAACTTTTACTGTGCAGAAGGTTGCTTTACTAAACTCTTTCCTTCACACCTTAAAGATCTTGAAGCCTGGATGTATTAAGAAGTCTGACTGACTGACTGATTTGGCTCATAATCTTATTTTTTTGGGAGCAACAATATATCAATAAATTCAATATATATATATATATTATTTGAGGGTCTTCTGAGGCCACCACCATTGGGTAGTACTTGACCCAGGTGGAGGTTTGGGTCCTTCCCTCCAAACTGCACATAGGCAAAACAAAACCTTTTCTGGCCGGGATGAGGATGAGCACTCCTCTGGGCATTTTGCCTACACTGAAAGTGGTAGCGCTGAGAGTGGTGAGTGATGATGGCTTGATATGAAACAGGTCTGTTCACATGGTTTCTTCACAAACCACTGCAACATTTATGTATCTCTCAATCAAGGTTGTGAAAAAAGGGCAGACAGACATTATATTATTACTGTCCTAATGCAAAGTCCTACTTAATGACCTGCATGCATCAGTGGAATCATAGATAAGTAACAGTTTTCTCTGTCACCCAGAATATCTCTTGTTCAAAAGTTGACTTATCCTCTTGCACTACATAATAAGAATCATTTTTTAATCCATTAACTCAGTCTCTGTCATCTGACTATACCAGTTCTTCAAAGAAACAGGTTCATGGATTGAAACTGAAGAAAGAAGGTGGAGCTGAGACAAACTAGGAAAGTAGAGACAGCACATTAACATGTATGAAAAGATAAGATAACTGAACAGTAAGTGTCATAACATTAATGTTACTTTCTGCTGGATATCTTTTGTATTGCTATCAAAAGGAATAATTAAGTTCTAAAATTAATGCGGGCAGTCAACCATCTAAATCTTCCTCTTACCAAAGTGATGAAATTGCTTAAGGCTCTTTTGAAGATGTTTTCCTTCTAATCCAAGAAGCTTCTTTAGTTATGAACTGGAAAAAAAATGTACTGAATATCAACCATCAGTGTTGGTGTTTTGCCCTCAGACCAGAGGGATTGAGGGTCACACAGATGAAATGTTCGAAGTCTGCAGGTCCACTTGCATGACAACACAGATTTGTGTTCAATTGACTGAGCACAAGTTTGCGAACAAGGGAGCCAGTAGTTTTCCAGTCGTCTGTCGGCTATAGGTCTAGATTTATCCTGCCTGACACGTACAACACAAAACGCAGTTTTCCCCAGATCTGTAAAAATTTGAGATACATTATAAAGTAAACACCTGGAAGAGCTGGTTGGGTAGTACTTGACCCAGGTGGAGGTTTGGGTCCTTCCCTCCAAACTGCACATAGGCAAAACAAAACCTTTTCTGGCCGGGATGAGGATGAGCACTCCTCTGGGCATTTTGCCTACACTGAAAGTGGTAGCGCTGAGAGTGGTGAGTGATGATGGCTTGATATGAAACAGGTCTGTTCACATGGTTTCTTCACAAACCACTGCAACATTTATGTATCTCTCAATCAAGGTTGTGAAAAAAGGGCAGACAGACATTATATTATTACTGTCCTAATGCAAAGTCCTACTTAATGACCTGCATGCATCAGTGGAATCATAGATAAGTAACAGTTTTCTCTGTCACCCAGAATATCTCTTGTTCAAAAGTTGACTTATCCTCTTGCACTACATAATAAGAATCATTTTTTAATCCATTAACTCAGTCTCTGTCATCTGACTATACCAGTTCTTCAAAGAAACAGGTTCATGGATTGAAACTGAAGAAAGAAGGTGGAGCTGAGACAAACTAGGAAAGTAGAGACAGCACATTAACATGTATGAAAAGATAAGATAACTGAACAGTAAGTGTCATAACATTAATGTTACTTTCTGCTGGATATCTTTTGTATTGCTATCAAAAGGAATAATTAAGTTCTAAAATTAATGCGGGCAGTCAACCATCTAAATCTTCCTCTTACCAAAGTGATGAAATTGCTTAAGGCTCTTTTGAAGATGTTTTCCTTCTAATCCAAGAAGCTTCTTTAGTTATGAACTGGAAAAAAAATGTACTGAATATCAACCATCAGTGTTGGTGTTTTGCCCTCAGACCAGAGGGATTGAGGGTCACACAGATGAAATGTTCGAAGTCTGCAGGTCCACTTGCATGACAACACAGATTTGTGTTCAATTGACTGAGCACAAGTTTGCGAACAAGGGAGCCAGTAGTTTTCCAGTCGTCTGTCGGCTATAGGTCTAGATTTATCCTGCCTGACACGTACAACACAAAACGCAGTTTTCCCCAGATCTGTAAAAATTTGAGATACATTATAAAGTAAACACCTGGAAGAGCTGGTAGCCAGAAAGAAAGACAGAAAAATATGCAAAGATAAGATGGAAGCTTATTCAGGATTGCTTTATAGATAAAAATATACAAGTGTTGTTGTCTACAAAGGGCCAGTGATGTCCAACCCACTAACTCATAAAGGATGCAGTGGTGAGCAAAAGACTTTGTATTTGTAATGAAACATAAGGATGCGTGGTACACTGAATCAGGGCTTCGTAAAACAGAGGAGGCTGTTGTTTTATCCTTACTTCAACTTTAACTTTAACTTCCCAAAAACTAATGTCCAGTGGTAAAAAACATTAGTGATTTCCTTACAAGCAAAACAACGATTCTCTGCAAGGTGTAAAACACTTTTGTGGACAGTTCTGGTTACTTGACCCATCAGAGACATTCAGCACTGGAAACCCCACTTGAGTTTCTGAACTTTCACCAAGCAGTACTCTCTGAGCAGGTACTTTTAGGGGGTTGAACTATTTCCCCAGAACTTAGTTTAGGTTCCTTAGGTGGAAATGCACATAGGGGAACTGAGTTCCTCTCTGAGGAACTTTTCTGTTATAGAGGCAGCCCTTTGTCACGGCCTGGGTCCCATCAGCACAAAAGTGTCTCCTTCTCAGGGGACCTGCAGCCGAGCAGCACTGGTTTCCCTGGTGGAGACATGCATGGCAACACATGAAAACAAGTTTCAGCTCTCAATTCCTAATTTATCACTAATGCACTAAAACGGTAATGGAGGCTTACTAGCAATGTTTATGGGCTCTCTTTCCTCGTCACTGAATAATATACTATATATAATAATATAATCAGTGACATTATTTAAAAACACACTATAAAGGTGACAGAAGAGTACAGAACAGTAGTTCACCATTTCTCATTTTAAACACTGTTTGACATTATTATACTATTCCTCATCATAACTCTGAACATTCATCTTAAAATATTGACACTGTAACTTATGACTTAGCTTTGTTGTACTGTTGGTATATTTATACCTAGTCACATACGCAAAATTAGACTAACACTGAGTTTATGTTATTTCTCCTGTCTGCCAGTCACAGGTGCTGCAAAAAAAATCTGAACAGGAAGTCACAAAACACCACTCTTGTTGGTTTTTACCACTAGTGTACACTAAGAATCAAGAAGCTATGGCTTTTAAATTTTGAATGCTTTGAGCACCGCCAACAAAATCCCAGTCACAACTGGACAACCTGAAAATGTAATGCCTCAGGCCATGGCCACTGGAAACATAAAAATATGTGAGAATTAACTTGGAAGCTATAATGTGACTACCAGAAACATATAACCCTGTTCATCAGCACATTCTCTTTTTTAACTCACGAGTACTAATTCTACTGAAATAACCATTATGATTATTTTTTATATATTCCTTATTCCAGGGAGCTCATTCTTATTCAGATCCAGTGAATCAGGTGAATATCAAACACAGTAAACTTCATTATACAGGATGTTAAAAACAGCTGCTGTATGTATAAGCAGTTCATCATTAATTCCAACATGACAGATAATATGTAAAAGAAATGCAAATGGACACAAATATCAAAGTTAAAGTTATGGACTGCTCATGGAAAAACACATTTCTTGCCATTTTTGCATAATGACAATATTAAACAATTAAAATCTAAATATTATCAATTATTAAAACTGTTGCCAATTATTTTTTTTCCCAATAGACTAATCGATTAATGACCATTTGCGCCCCACAGTACAGGTTGTTGTGGAAACAGTTGTGTGTAACAGGAGTTAACAGGGGCCCAATAACAAACAGAGTTGAGTAGTTCACCTCACTTTTACCTCAGGTATAAATCCCCATATGAACGACGTGTTATTACTGGAGGGAAGTAAAAATGGACTAGTAACACCATCCTACCTTTTACGTAGGCTGTGATTTTTGCGTTCCTTTGCGGGGCATTTGAGCCAAACGTTTGCAGACAGGGTCTCATCTTGACGCATACACGATCTTTGGCAAAGGCAGATCGCAGCTGCGTGGGGGAAAACCAAGACAGCGCAGTAGGTGTGTCTCTGTCACTTTTGCCGTTTATTCCAGGAAGTAGACTTTTTGTCTTCGAGTGAGTTGTTGTCAAGGCTTTATAGCAGAGCACCAGTTGGAAGTTTTACAGTTTTCTTGCTGGCTGCCATGTCGGATTCTTTGGACCGGTCCACAAAGATCAACTCTGTGATGGAGCCGGTGGTGAAGAAGCTCTGTGAGGTGTTGGACAAATCCAGCACCAGAGGATGGCGAAAACTCGGAGAGATTGTTGGCAATGACAGACGGTTTAAAGTCAGGTGGGGTGAAAGTTACTGTAAACTGTGTGCAGAGGCTCTGAAATAGATAAATGCATAACTCCAAGTGAAACAAATCTGATTATTGTGGTTGTTTTTCCATTACATTTGGCTTCCAGGAGAAGAACGTAAAGGCTGAAGTTTGTTTGTTTTTTTATAGTCTGCTGTAAAAACAAAGCAAATGAAACGGATGTTGGCTAAATTGTTCATGTTTTCTGCTGACTCCCAGTCAGTTTTGGATTTGAAACTGCTTCCATTGTGCGTTTCGATTGTAAAGCTTCCGTTAAGAATGAGGCCCTTCTACCCCCCTTTTGTGCTTATTCCTGTTAAGGTTTAGTCCCCCTCACCTGGAGGGTGAGGGAGAACTGGGGTTGGACTCAAGATGGCTGACCCAGGTGCTAGTAGAAAAAGGAGGTTTAATGGAATAAAAACAACAAAGTGACAACATAACAGGGTCCATAATACATACAAGGGAAGGGCAGTGATGACTAAGGAGACCAGGACGAACAGGTACACATACACACTAATGGCAGGAATCAGGAGAGCAGGAGGATGAGAACGGACAGATGAACAAAAAGAACCAACGTACACAATGTAATCCACAGCACAGAGACCGGAAGACAAAGCACGTATTTCTGTGTTGCTAACCGCATAATTAGCGTGATAAGATCAAGCCAAAACGCACAGGAACTGTCAGCGTAGCATCTTACACACGTCTGAAGCCAACAAATCACTGGAATACGCCTCAGGTGTGCGCACCGACCCACGAGTCACTAATTACCCGATGCGACACAGCTGAGGCGTTGATCCCGCAAAAAGGGAGAGCAGGATAGGGAAAAAAGAAAGAGAGGCAGGTCGCGCCGGGCGAACCTGACAATTCCAGAAAGAATCCTCATATTTTTTTAATCATCTTGCTGCTATGACATTATTTTAATATCACTCAGATCCTGTATGTATGTTTCATGTGCAGATGTTGCCTGTACACAACTATGTTTATGCGATTTTTGTTGAGCTGTATGATTATATCAGCATCGTTCTCTGAAATTCTGCTCTTCACTTTGCATAAATATACTGAGAGGAGACGACCTCAAATTATTATGTGGCAACTTATTTGACCAATAAAGTTGCTTTTGACTCTAATACCAGAAATATGATGTGCTGTCCTCCCCCAGCTCAAACGACATGGAGATGTGCTCTCTGAAGGTGCTGGAGGTGGAGGGCAGCCCGAGCCGCATGCTTCTGAGGCTGATGGGAGAGCGAGGCTGCACCACAGGGCACCTGATGGACTACCTCCAAACTCTGGGCAACTCAGAGGCCCTGCAGTGCCTGAAACCATCAGGTACAATAAAACCTCCCTAAGCCTGCTATTATGCTGTGAAGCAGGTTAATCTGTGTTCTCTGTATTGTCGTTTTACTTTAAAGGGAATGGAAATCACTTCATGGTTCTGGGATGACACAGCCCATTGTCAGTGCAATACTATAGGTTTGTCAGTACAAAGAAAGTTCAACTGATGTGGGTTGTTGAAAGAGAAAACATGATTATGTGTTTATTCCATGACTGTATTATTGGAGGGGTGGTAAGTCTAGTGAATCTGCATTTAGACACTTTTTGGAAACTAAAACTGTTTTGTAACCCACTTGGGAGATTTTATTATATGACATTAAATGTTAGCGTTACACAGAAACTGCCTCTCTTTTCTACTGGTATGTAACTGATCTAAAATCTGTGTAACAATGTAAGAAAAAGTGTGGCTTCACAGCGAAGGTCTTCTAAATTTGCAGGCTTGCAGATCCTCATTCAGCCCCAGTCAGTGGCTCTTATGTCTGGTCACAATCTCTGCCTCAGCTGCCACGCTGTGGGCAAATCCCCAGTACAGTACCAGTGGTTCAAGAGTAAGGAGGAGGTGAGCTACGACCTCCACCGCACACAAAATAACATGTTTATGTTCATCTCTGTTAGTTGCTGCATTGTTTATGCTGATGTGAGGTTTTCATACATCAGCTGCATTAATTATTTTGCATCATCTTGTCTTCATTATTTTGTCCTTTTGTTAAGTAAACCAAACCAAACCGTATTAAAACACCCGGAGAACCACTCGCCTGGCAGATCGGCATTCTAAGTTCAATATGCAGTCTTTCAACTTTCCAGGACAAATGCCTGCTGTTAATTGAAGTGTAAAATGCATATGAATGCGTAACCTTTTTTTCTGGTTGTTTAGCAGATTATAATTTGACAAAAAAGCTTCTTACTCTTATCTGTGCTCCTTTCCTGCAGTGTCTAAACAGGTTCCTAACTTTAACAAAACCCCACAATACTTGAATTATAACCTTCGAATGTGCTGCATTTTACTGTATAAATAAATGCTCGACCACAGAAAGTAAAGTGGCCTCTTATCAAATAACTTACTGTTCCTCTTTCCTACTAACATATGAAAAATGTTTCATCAGAACTGGATTTCCAGAATTTTAAAAGGAAGTGTTATATAGTAGAAACAACATACAATCACATACTTTAACTTTTTATTTACCTAAAACTAGTTTCTCAGCTTTTAAATCTGAACATTTTTATGCACAAAAACTACATATGAATTACCTGCCCCTGAATAATATGCCCCACAGAAATGTGATTTCAGTCTGCAGATTTTCCTGTTGGTAAATGTTGTTTTCACATTTTCACAAGCTCAGGTGCCAAATAGCTTCTCTCCAGACCTGGTGATAAGTCCGGTCCATCTGAAGGATGCTGGTTTTTACATCTGCAGGGTCAATTGTGGAGATACCTTTGAATTCAGCCAGTGGGCTCAGGTGGACGTCCTAAACGTCATCACGTCTTACGGTAAGATATTGCAGATATTTAAGTCTCACTTGTGACTGCTATTTCTTGCTTTGTGCGCTGTGTTTATAAAGGCTTTGTTGTTTTTTTTCTATTGCTTGTGTTCTTTTGCATATTTTTGAGGTGTCTGTGTCTGGACAGGCTGTATTTACTGTAAGATGCTTATGTGGGAATAGACCAGCCATTGTCAGTTGCTACTGTGAAAAAGTTCTGTCAAGCCCATAACTGTAGTACGTTTCCCAGTTAGAATTACCAGCCAAAGCAGGATTCTTTTAATCGGATCTAATAGATAATTTACTAATGATGTCTCCATTCGCCGCCACCAGGGCAGTGTTATCAATCCTTAGAAGGTCGGCTGAAGTTGGTGATCCAGCCTCAGCCCCAGCAGATAAATGTTGGGGAAACCCTCCAGCTGGAGTGTGGAGCTGTGGGACGTCCAATCCCTCGGTACCAGTGGCACAGAAATGGCGTCCCAATCCCTAACACCACAAAGAGGAAACTTGTGGTGAGGAGAAATTTTATGGTGTTACTTGTATGGTTTGTTGTCAGATGTTACAAGGTGTGAACCTATTTGGTTACCAGATGTTACAGTTTTACCTCCGTAGTTCACTAAATTGTTTACATTACATCTAACTTTTGTTAAGGAGCAAGACTTAATAAAAAGTGCATTTCAGATCCCTCACGTGATGCGGGATCACCAGGGCAGGTATCGCTGTGAGATCAGCAGCAGCACCGAGAGAATGTGGACCAATGAAGTTGACATAGTGATAGGTATGTCACACTTGACATTTTTTGATCCTGCGCTTATAGTCCATCTTAAAACCAGCTCTGTTCTCATCATGTCTGAGTGGTTTACTCTGTTCTTGACTGAAAGCACCGAGGATATCTGTCCAGATTTCAGGAGCAATGGAGTGCTCGGAAGGTAGAGTTAAAATGACTGGCGCATGGTGTATTTCTGAATGGAAGTAGTCATTAACTGCATGCGAATCCTAATCACAGTTCTGTTGAACAGTCTAAATTGTTCCTGTAACTGCATGTTGGTTATAATCCAGATTACTAACATACAGTATGAACACTAACCAGCATCAGGCATACGGGGTTCACTGCCCAGGTCTAATGAGCATGCATTCTGATCTGACTAATGCAATTATCTTCAGTTGTACAGTGTCCTATATTTATCTTATTGTCAATAAATCTAATGGAAAAAGCAAAACCAACAATGAATTGATCATTGTAACCTAATCCTGTCATACTATCATACCTCCATTGTTGTTCTAAAAATATTATTAACTATAAAATGGCATTACTGAGCCACGCTGTTGCACAGGTGACATATTGTTTTGTTCCATCTTGCTACTGGTGTAAAAACTTCATGGACAAGAATGTGTATTTGAGTAAAACTATTGTGAGCAGCTGCTTTACGAAATTACTGAGCCTTTAAAAAAAAAAAAAGAAGCCATATGTTGGTGATCTAAAGGTAAAGGAACCAACTAACCTGGGTAGTAGAGAGAGAGATGGACTAATGCAGGGTTTTGCTTTGTTTGTGGGATTGGATGACAATAAGATCAACACTGAATAATTCCAGTCTTAATCTCTTAATTTAATTATGATCGGTTGATCTGACGTTTCTTCTCATGTTATATAAAGTTTCCTTCCTTTTGGCAAATGCTTGTTTCCTGAATCAGTCAAATATTTTTCCAACACCACTGTAAAACTGCTCATCTTACATGATGTATTTGTGTGTTTGATTCCTAGATGATGTTTACGCTATTGGAGGAGGTAAGTGTAATTGTACTCTCAGTATTTGTACATGCCTAGGCCATATTTTGCTTGGAGAATACTTGCTCATAGTCTTCTGATATGTGTTTACTGTGACATAACAGTTTTAGATTCCAGTGAATTGGCCCTGAATAGTATTCCGGAACATCTTTATGGTAAGGAGTTTTCAACATACTTTTATGCAAGTGTTATTGAATTGTTATTTATTTGTGTGGCTGATTCGCAGTAATGTACTCTGTGATAACTGTGTAACTGTTTTGTCTGATACTACTTGTCTCTGCTATCGCTGAACACCAGATTCTGTCATATACAGCTAAAGGTTAAAGGTATGACATGGCATCAAAGCGCTACTGATACTGTGGTTTCTCTTCAGTGCCGCTTCCGTCCTGCCGCTGGTTTTTCTTTGTAATTCAGCACTACTTGAATTCCTGCTTTGTCAGCCATAAATGCTGTGAATCCTCTAAAGTTTAGTTCTCTACAGATTTGTTTTGTACCTGAAGATAATTTTTTTTTCTTGCTATAAAATATAAGGCACATTATACTTTTACAAAAGTCAGATATAACTGTAGAATAAACAAAAGATTGAAGAAAAAAAAACAACATGAAAAGACATAAAAATCACAAATTAAATCGACTCTTAGGTTGTTCCAAGCATCTTGGAGAACTTAGCACAGGTCTTCTGTGGATTCTGTCTCAGTGTCTTCTCCATGATGTTGATGGGGGCTCTGCAGGGGCCATACCATGTATGTTTGGGGTTGTCATGCTGCAGAATGAATTTAGGGCACATTAGATGACTTTGTGATTGTTTTCCATGATGGATAAAAACCTAAAGTGTACACTTTGCTCTGGTCTGGACTTGATGACTTGCAGTAAACGCTGCCATCTTGAGGGATACTTAGTATTACTACTTCACTTTTCAGTTCTAAAATCGTTTCATTGATACATATTATCATGTACGAGTTGTTTTCTCACCCTCAGTTTGACAGTATGCTTTCTCCCTCTCCTGCGTCTCCACCCAGCAACTGACAAAGTGGCCCTGCTGATCGGCAACCTGTCCTACCAGAACCACCCACAGCTCAAAGCTCCTATGGTGGATGTGTACGACCTCTCCAACCTCCTGCAGCAGCTTAACTTCAAGGTGGTTTCACTGCTAGACCTCACAGAGTCCGAAATGAGAAATGCTGTTGATGAGTTCCTGCTGCTGCTGCACAAGGGAGTCTATGGTATGTTGGGATTATACATACTTGTGGATGGTTATAGATGTAGTAGAACCAGAAATACTGACATTTGAACACACTACATGAAATACAGTATGTTTTAGGTGATAGCCATAGATGACTTAAACTAGCTGTTTCCCATAAATGATCTAGTGAAGGCAGTTAAATCTGAATAATAAAGGCTTTGCATCTCATTAGGAAATATGAATACATAAAAAACAAGGTGCATACAACCTGATTTTGTCATTTAAACCGGCATTTGTTTAAATACAATTATGAATGGGTGCTCTGTTGTTTCTTGGTCAGTTGGACAGTGGCATCACTTCACATTTACAGTGGCAACAAAAACAAGTTCGGTATGTTTGTGTCTAAAAGGAAACTGACTCCGGTTTCTAGTGGCACCCAGTGTTTTCATACACAGTAACAGTAACACCATTCAGGAAGCTACACATGGACATACAGTAGAAACAAGGACAACAAAAACTGACCAAACATAAGTAAACATAAATATATGACTATAAAGTACAAGCAAGTAGGTGAATGAAATAGCTGCATTTATATAGCAACAACAAATGTCCAACATACAGTACATCCACACATAACTGTGGATAAAAGGAGAAATATTATGTGATGCACAGCCTTTGAACAAAGTCAGCACTAACACAGAGTAGTTAATGGAAAATTAAAGCTATAAATATTTTCTCTTACCCATTTGAAACCGTGACCTATTTATGTAGCCACAATGTTGCCTTCTATGTCTAAGCTACCTGGTTGAAGCAGACACCTCCTTCTTTAGGCCTGCTGTACTACGCTGGTCATGGATATGAGAACTACGGCAACAGTTTCATGGTTCCTGTAAATGCACCAAACCCGTACCGGTCAGCCAACTGTTTATGTGTGCAGAGCATCCTTAAACTGATGCAGGAGAAGGAGACGGGCCTCAATGTTTTTCTGCTGGACATGTGCAGGAAGAGGTGAGTGCTTGAGTTGGCGGGTCATTCCTTTAAGTTTCTTATGTGTCAAACTTTATGTGTTAAAGGAAGCATTATAAATCCAGTTATCTACTCTAAATGGTTCCACATTAGTTTTCTGTCAGTCCAATCATTTCAGCTCTAGTTATGTGACCAAGTTAGGCTTTTGGTCTACATTTTAACTCCTCTTTCTGTGGCCAAATATTTTTATGCAAATTTTAAGACTGAATAAGTCACATTTTAATATACAGATATATGTGTGCAATTCCATGACGGACGTTTAAGGAATCATTGCTCTCCAGCAGAGAGCTGTTAGAGATTCATCACTTTTGTTCGCATCTTAGATGTTTTACAGGTTTCTTTGTTTTCCAGGAATATTCATGATGACAGCGCACCAAACATTGTCCTGAGGGTTACAGCAAACATTGTCTTCGGATATGCTACGTAAGTTTGAAAACTACACCTTTTGTCGTCAAAAATATACATGTTTAAGGAATATAAATCATTTTTGTATGGCTGTCTAGGTGCCAAGATGCTGAGGCCTTTGAGCTGAGCTCCAGTGGCTTCACTAATGGTGTGTTTGTCAAGTTTTTGAAGAAGCGACTGCTAGTAGATGAGAAGATCACTGTGGTGCTGGACAAAGTCGCTGAGGGTAAGAACAGAAACATGTCATATAACATCATATGTAGGCCTCTATAAATACTGACAATGATAGTTAAACCACAAATATTATATGTGATATAGGCAAACCATAGTTTTGAATGTATCTTATTTTTGTCCATCAAATGCAACAAAGGCGTCATTCACATTTTAAGATGAATTTGTGACAGAGAAGGTTATTAGGTTGCCATGAAGAAATATAATCAAAAGACTGTTTTATAGTTGCAGTTTCCTACAGGATGTGTTTCTGTTTATTTGTAATGGAAGTTAATGACATGTAGCTTGTTTCTTTGCAAACACAGGGTAAATAAAGGAAAATGACTTGAGGTTGCTAGTGCAGTGTTTAGTATGTGGGCAGGTTGTGCTCCAACAGGCTATGGTTAGCTCAGGGTGGGTGAAGTAAATGTATTTACTGTACATAATGTGAGTTTCCCAGTTCAGTGTCTCCCAACAGTGTTTCAAATGCTTTTGGTTGGCCCCAAATAATGTGATGGAGCTTAGGACATTGAAGTGGTGATGCCACTGTTGAAATGTGATTTCTTGTGTCCAGACATGGGCCAGTTTGATGCTACGAAGGGGAAGCAGGCTCTGGAAATCCGCAGCAGTCTGTCAGAGAAGAGAGCTCTGACTGACCCAATTCTGCCCGGTGACAGTGTTGATCTCGCTCACAGCCGTCAGTGGGCAAAGGCTCACGGTGAGTTTAAAACGCAAACTCGCTTCTTTTTTAAATATTTGTTTATCATTTGTCATCAGAGCAGAGGAAAGCCTCTATTTGCTTGCCGGGGATTAGTACTGTAAGCTCATTCAAATGTTGACTCTGGTTTATGTTGAATTAGCACACAGTGTTCTCCCACTCTCTCACATGCACATGTGCACACAGGGTGGTTCCTTCAGACACCGGTCTGTTGTTGGCTCCTCTGTTTTTGGTGACTAGGGAGTTTGAGGAGGGAGGAACACATTGTTATCACCTGTTCCTCTTCTGTCAGCTAATAAATGTTTTCCTGTGGAACATTCTCTTGAGCTTAGACAAACACAAAACAGAAATTAAACACACACATGTACACAAAATGGATGTAAATATAAGTTGATCCTTGGCACACCATGACAAAGATGGGCGACACTTCATTTTAAGTCCCTGTATTTAACGTTAATACGATTTCAGCATTGGCTTATAACTGATGTAGTTTTATGCATAACATTTCATACGATCTCCCATATGTGGAGGTGCACAGGATTATGAGTGACAATATAGTAAAATACTGTTGTAATAATAATAACAATAATAATAACAATAACATAATTTTCTCTTGATTTTGACAAATACTTGGCACAGTAAGAAACATTTAAAGAAGTTTTACAACTATAAGAATTTTTCTATAAGTGGGGTAAAACTATGGAATACTTTAAGTGTGGACATAAAAAATAGTAATAGAATTGACGAGTTTAAACATAAATATAAAGGTATGTGTCAATCAAGATATATGCAAGAACAGGCTCAATGATTAATTAGATGGAACATTGTGGGTGTGGTGTATGAATGTTAACACTTTGTAACAATTCTTTAGTATATTACTTGTGTGGTGTAGAAGAGAATTATTTATGTAGAGATACTGCTTGCAAACCAATGATGGTAAGATGATGTCATGGGGTAGGACTGGATAAGTCTGACTTCTTCCTACTCCATTCAAGCAGGTACTAGGTATAAGCAAATTGATATTGGATTAGCATTTGTTGGATATGTGTAAAATTATGTGTGTTGATATATCAACTGTCTTTACATGCTTGAAAGAATAAATCAAATCAAATCAAAATCAAACTACATTACAGTGTGTTATAACCCATTTATTAAGTGGTTTGTTAATTCTTAGAAATTCTAAATGGGAAAATAAGATACATGTGAAAATTGTGTGTTTCTTTTAATGTAATCATCAAAAAAAGTTTAATGGCACCACTGGTACTCATTAGTTTTTGTATGTTTTTCAGAGCTTCCTGAGGCTATGTGTCTCACCTTCGACTGCGGGGCTCAGATCAAGCTGGGCTTTGCTGCGGAGTTCTCCAACGTGCTCGTCATTTACACTCACATCATTAAGAAGCCTGTGGACATGTCGTTCTGCCAAGCTCACGTCACTGACTTCTCACAGGTCTGTTGGCACAAACACAGTATTTCTCATCTTTCTCCCAATCTAACTGGAACTTCATAGTGGTACAAAGTAACTACATACAGTTACTCTAGTGCTGTACTTAACTTTTTACTTGAAGTATGAGTATTTCCATTTCATGTCACTTGTACTGTCATTTAAAGGTTTGGATTACTGGTTGGACAAAACAGGCATTTGGAAGATGCAGGACTTTGACTTGTAATGGAGTATTTTTACAGTATTAGTACTTTTACTTAAGTAAAGCATCTGAGCACTTTTCCAATTCTTGAACCTTTCAGGGAAATTAGATGATTAAATCAGATTCACCATTTCACTTCAGATTTGAGGGACCAAAAGACAGTTGTGTTATGTGGGTGGGCGAGATGTGTATGTGTGTTGGTGCATATGGTGCACTGCCACCTGCTTCTTTTCCTCACTGCAGGACCTTGACGTGGATCCTAAAGAGATGAACAGAGAGACTCCGGAGGAGACGGGGATCTACCTACTGTCCAGCAGCCTGCCACAGCACTGTCTCTACACCAGGATCAGCTCACTGCAGAAACTCAGGGTAAAAATGCTAGTTTTATTTCCCACAATGCTTTTTGCTATATTATACTGTATTAAACGTATTCTAATCAAAAACAGAATGACAGCCTCATCTGAAAGGGCATTTTTCAACCAAATGAGCCTGTTTTTCTCTCGTTAAATACCAGGACCTGGGGTCTACAGCCAATTTGACAACATTGTGAGGATGTAAACTGCAACAGTGGTGATTTTGTGCATTTTAACTTGCTTACAGTGTCAGTATTACCATGCCAATGTCTAGAAGATGTATTGTTTAAAATGTTGACCATTGTTGTTCAGCTTGTTAGAATATACATTTTTTCTACAGGGTTGATGGAAATGTCATCAGCTTTTCAGGTATAAATGTTGTAAAATCTAAAAGTTCACCTGATGATGGAATGAGATTAAATGCCAGAGGATCACCGGGTGCTCATCCACCTTATGTTGAGACATTTTACTCACAGTCAAACAGGTCTTGATGGTGCTAGAAGGAAAGTCAGGACCATAGTAGGCGAGTACCCTGGTAGTCAGCACCTGCTCCATACCCTAATTAGCACTAAGTACAATGTCAGTCTAAAATAACCAATTCTGGGCCATGAAATCAAAGAAGCAACAAATTTCCTTTACTCGTATTTCTTCTTATTTCTAACCCCATATGTAACAGGACGAGCTGGTCTTCACTGTGTGCCTTCAGGGCACCTTCAGAGCCATGGATGACGATCCTGTTCACTGGACCAAAAGCATCAACATCGGAAAGCCACTGATCGCCCGACTGGACCTGCACCAGGCCATGCGGAGAAATAGTTGCTTGCAGACTTGCATGATGCCCCACAGCCCGTCCCACAGCCCCTGTCACAGCCCTGGCCCTGAACACCACCACCACCTCCATCACAGGCTGCACCAGGCCCAGGACTACAACCGGCTCTCCCCACAGCACCACTACCTAGACATCTGCGAGCGTCTTCAGGGTGCAGTGGGAGGCTCCTACTATGAAAATCTTAGCCAGTGTCACTGTGAGCCAACGTATGACTCACCTGGTGGGCTTTCAAGCTCACCCAGCATTCCTATAGAGGCCAGCGACGACATCAACGAGCTGCAGACTGTGTTCATTAACAGTCTGCAGCTTCAGCAGCAGTGAACAGCTACTGGCTCTCAGTGATATTTTTCAGAGGAGAAACTGTCTTTCTAAATGTCTTTAATGGTGTATCTGGAATACTGCTGCTCTTTCAGTTATATGTTTTGACCTCAAAGGATTCTTTTTAGAATTTTTAAACTTCTAAGCATTATTTGCTTCAACAAGCTGTAAACTGACCTGACATTTACATTTTGTAAATAAACTTTTAGAGTAACAAAAACTGATGAGTAATTGCTGCAGTTCTACTATTGTAGAGTTGTGAATTTACCAGGGATTTTCAGATTTTACTCCAAGCAGAACAGATACTATGTGTCAAGATCAGGCGCGTCACAGTCCTTGTGTAACTGTACTGAGATTTCCATAGCACCGGAATTGTACAATTTTCAAACATTTAGACACAAGTCAAGCTTGTACATATTATAAGGGCATTAAGATAAAGAAGATAAAAGGTGAGGAAGCTAAAGGGTGAGGCAATCTGCTCACAAGGCTTTTCTCACCTTTAATTCAAGAAGAACAGTGGAAACAAACTAGTCTAAAAGAAAATTTGCATTCAGCGGAACTGAAGCAACTTGGGCTCCCTCTGCTGTACAGCGAGAATTATCCACGGTCACCTGCAGACAGTGGTGGAAGAAGTATCCAGATCCTTTACTTAAGTAAAAGTACCAATAACACAATGTAAAAACACTTTATTACAAGTAGAAGTGCATTTTACTGTTGTAGCTGGTCAAAAGAGTGAGTTTTAATTTCTTTATATACAGTACATGGCAGTAATTTAGTCAGGTGGCTCTGAGTGTCCAGGTCGGGCCCCACGAAAGGTCACCAGATAAATCAGAGAGGTTGTGAGATGGATAATGGGAGAGGAAAGAAGAGTAAAATTGTACTTAAGTCTGGCATTTGAGCAAACATATTGTTTACTTCCCACCACTGACATAATACATTACAGGAGCTGTTTTTAAGAAACACCAAAGGAGGAAGAGATGAAAAGGACATTGACAAATAACTGTAAAGACAGAACATAAGTTACAGTTAAGTTACAAAATGTACTAAAATGGAGCAGGTGCTGACTGCTACAACAGCTGTATAAGCACATGAAGTCTAATGAATAAAATAATTACAAATAACCTAAATCCAGAGAATGTGTGTAGGAATATGTCAGAACTCAGTGTGCTCCTATGCTTGTGGGTATTATCATTAATGTTGTTCATGGGGGATGTTTTTAGAGGTAGAAAGAGAACTGGAATATCCTAAGTAGAAGTAATCTTAAATGAGTTACTCATCCATCCATTCATTTATTATCTGTACCGCTTATTCCTGAATAGGGTCACAGGGGGCTGGAGCCAATCCCAGCTGACACTGGGTGAGGGGTGGGGTCCACCCTGGACAGGTTGCCAGTCTATCACAGGGTTGACATGTAGACAAACAACCACACACATTCACGCTCACTCCTATGGGCAATTTGGAGTCACCAATCAACCTAAGCTGCATGTCTTTGGACTGTGGGAGGAAGGTGGAGTACCCGGAGAGAACCCACGTTTCCTCATATAGATATGAAATTACTTTTGTTGAAATCTGCTCAAGTTATAGTTGAAAACTGGGTCTTTTGAAATCTACTCTGAATGTTTTACTTTATAAAAGCAAAGGACAGTATTTTAGGCACTTTTGAACTATAGATTTTTATTCGTTACCTATTACCACCAGAGAGGCATCTGGTTGATCATAAATGAATTCTGCAGCATGACTACAAGCCCAGACATACAGACAGAGCTATAAGGAGGAAGAACAAGCACTGCCGTGACAGAAGGTATGACCCCACAGAGCCCTGATCTCAACATCACACTGAATTTTTATTTTTATTTACGTTTTGTCTATACTGTCCTTTGTATAAATTTAATTGATAAAAAATGTGCATGCCATAATTTGCCAAAGCATCCTCAATCATTCTCAAGTGCCCAAGACTTTTGCACAGTACTGTATAATTTAAAAAAAAAACTGATTTTTAAAAATACTAAATTGTAGTAAAAATTGCTCAAGTACGGAGTACTCATCTAGTTGCCACTTTGGCTGTTTTCATGATGGCATGCAGATAATGTGACCTTGAGCTGCCATGTCCTCTCATATAACAGCACAGGGCACAGAAGCAACATAATAGCACTCAGCTTGGGAGGGTTGTATTCATTTTTATCACACGCAGAGCAACATTTTTCTGCAAAGCACGGGAGTAGTTGTTTCAGCATGTTCTGTTCGCGCATAGTGTAAGTCATCAAGACAGGACACACGGTTCAACACTCAGATGTAGGCCGTGTGTGGTTTGAATAATGTATAGCATCATTCTCCTCACAGGCTACAGTGTGATATCATGGCTGCGTCACTTGCGCAGCTGATAGAGGAAGGGTGGGGTGATTATACAATGCAGCAGGAAGAGGGAGAAAAGATACCTTGTGAGAAAGCTGCTCTCGGAGAGGACAGAGGGATAATAATCATGTCACCTTCCTGGACTCAGCTATTATTTCAGATTCTCCTGCTTCTTGTCTGCTGCAGACACATCAATACAAGTAAATGAGATTTGACTTTATTTTGATTGTATGTGGTTGTGTTTAAGCTCTGCAGCTTCTCTTTTCACTAAATGTCCTGTAACCTTGTGAGAAATGGAAGAAAATGTCCTCAGGTTTTTAAATTTGTATCTACCATATTTTGGTTTAAAATTGCAGCTGTCAAAATCTATTGTATTTGGTTTTCTTCTTTTTAATCTCTCAGAAATATCCTTGTCAAAGCATTTACATCATCACTTCATTCTGAAACTCTTCATTTAAACCAAGTGCAGTTGCTTATTTAAGGATAATGTTATGTACAAAACTGCACAAAAAAGGAAAATTAAAAACCAGTGTTAGAAACGCTCTGGTAGGGGGGTGAGCGAGTAAAAAATGACGGACCCAGGTAGCTGACTTCGGTGCAAGAAGTGCTCTATTTATTACAGTGACAATACGTGTACAACCAGGTGAAGGAATATTGAGCAGAACTGGGTGTCGAGCAGCAGTCCTGGAAAACATACAGTCAGTGATGAGATGATAAGGAGGAGGCCGGGCTGCGGACGCTAGGATTCACTCCTGGACTGGTCGTGGTGGTTGGTTGCTGAGGGGACAAAGTCACAGAAACAGTTAATGGGAGACTGTGCATCGACCTGCGTGGTGGAGTGATGTGGAGT